CCATAGCTTTTTTCTGCTTCCTTTGGTCCTCTCCCGGGGGAGCAGAATGGCCAACATGCAGCCCGTTCTGGTCATCTAGAGAAGGAATGTAGGTCTTGGTGTTCAGTTAGAAAGCAAACCAGGCAGTCTAGGCTTGGTTCTTTTCTGGGTAGTGGCTAAATGAAGTAGAGAGAACTGCCATGGCAACTCGGCTTCCTTGGTTCTCATAGGCTTGAGTGTTGTCCGTTCTGCTCAGAGCTCAGGAGCAATGACTGTGACCTGATTTGCCCCTTTCATGCAGGAAGGCTGTCTGAGAGCAGTATAAACTGAACGAGTTCAGGTACCTGAGAATCCCCCATCTTTTATCCAAGCGTTCCAGCCACTCAGGGCAGCAGGGGCAGGTAGTCCCCCACTAATTGTGCCTCAGCCACACCACAGTGCCATCCGTGGTAGTTTCTTACGGGCTGCCCACCTCAGGGGGAGGAGAGGTTGGCCCGGGTTTTACAGGTTAGAAATAGAAACCTCTCCCCGGGGGTTGATGCCCGGGGTCTTATCTCAGGTTCCTTTGGCTATAGTGTCCTGCCTTCCCAATATATTAACTATTTTTCTGCTTTATTTCTTCTTTCTGTTCAAAGAAGCAGATGCCCCTCGAGACAAGTTGGCTTTATGGAGAGTTTTCAGAGAAAAGTGAGGACTAGGGGGAATCCAGACCAGCCTCACCTTTCTTAAGGAATGAGGGCTGGCCTTTCATTTTCCCCAGAGTAATTTTGTAGTAAACATCTATCCCAGTAATACATTTCTAACCCTGTAGGACAACTTCCTAAGTGTCTGGCACACAGTCGACCTTCCTTGTTTGTCAAATGTTGCCAGATGAACACAGAGCATGTTTGCATGTGTGCTGTGGAATTGTCAATCATTGAACCAGGAGTGGTTCTGCTCCCTGGTTTGATGCAGGAAGCAAGGCTGGATCAGAGAGATAACGGGAGCCCCACTTTGTCAGATGTGCGATTCCAGAATAGTGTTATACTATTCGTGTGTAAAATGTGACACCGTGGAAGTGAACTGTGGTGTTGGATGCAGACTAGTTACGGCGGTCAAACTCAGAGCCGCTTGTTTAGTCTCTAAACTTTGAACCTGGCCGCCATTGTCCATTCTTTCCACTACCACCAGAACTTAGATCGTGTCAGTTCCCTGCCTAAAAGACCTCCAGTGTCCTCCCATTGCATTCACAACTACCTGTGCCCGTGGTACCTGACACAGTTGGGCCCGGGCCTGCTCTCCTACCTTGTCTCCCACTCCTTCCCACACTGACCTCCTTTCTCTTCCTTGAATGAGTCAAGCTTATTTTGTGTCTCAGGGCCTTTGCACTGGCTGCTCCCTCTATTTGAAGTCTGCATTCCTCTATTCCTCTGTGTCTCTCCATCAAATCATCCTGTTTTGTTTCCTTTGTAATATTTACCAGTATCTGGATTTATTTCCTGTTGATGATCTTTTCCCTTCTGCTAGAATGGATGCTCTGCAAGAATCGGCCAGTGTCAGTCCTGTTCAGTGCCGGGTGTCAGTGTCCAGAATAGAGCCTCTCTGATCTGAGCAGAGTTGTGAAAAGAATGAATCTCCTTTAGTTTCTTCTTCTGTAACCCAGGCAGGCGGGTATTTTATAGGAATGTTAGGAGTGACTTGAGGACTTAAGAACTGTGGGAGATATGTCACGTGACAGGCCTTGTGCCTTTCCACTTAATGATTGTTAAATATGAGGCCGAATGTGAAACCGAGAGTCACTTTCATGTAGTGTGTGGTCAGAGTAAGGCTTGGGGTTTGTGTTCACCCTCGGAAGGCTTCATTAAGTCTGACAGGTAATCCTTATTAAAAAAGGCATCATTATCCCATTGGGCTATTGGATGGTAGGGGGTTGAGGCTGAGAAAGGCATCAGTTTGCCAAAAGTCACGTCCCTGGGACCCAGCAGCTAGACACTGTCAGCAAAATCTAAGCAGCTAGCCTAAAGCATCCTGACTGTGATGGGGAGAATGGAACCTTCCTCCCGCCCACATCGCTCTACTTTTATCCCATGCTCAGCCTTAAATTGCTGCCTTCATCATCCTTCCTGGCCTTGCTTCTGCTGGAACTGACCTAGAATCCCTTTCTCCCAACTACTTCCTTCTGGGGGTGGGGCTGCCAGCCAGTACAGGGGAGTCAGGTTTCTTACTTGTAACACCTGTGCCCTTGAACTTCTTCAGTGAACATGAGGTGGGGAGCAGATCCTCACCAGGCCAGTGGTGACAGTGAGGCTGTTGGTGATATTTCCCCATTACCAGGTGTATGTCCCCATGAGTATCCAGATTAAAGCTGAGAGCCCATTAAAACCTGGGGCACCTGGGTGGCTCAGTTGGTTAAGCATCTGCTTTTGGCTCAGGTCATGATCTTGAGGTCCTGGGATCTAGTCCCGCATTGGGCTCCCTGCTTGTGCTCTCTCTCTCACTCTCAAATAAATAAAATCTTTAAAAAAAACAAACTGAGAGCCACCTTTTCTTTTTCCCCCAAAAGAGGAACCCACCTTAAGTTTAAAATTAGCTTTAAATGGGGCGCCTGGGTGGCTCAGTCGTTAAGCGTCTGCCTTCGGCTCAGGTCATGGTCCCAGGATCCTGGGATCAAGCCCTGCATCGGGCTCCCTGCTCCGAGGGAAGCCTGCTTCTCCCTCTCCCACTCCCCCTGCTTGTGTTCCCTCTCTCGCTGTGTCTCTCTCTCTGCCAAATAAATAAATAAAATCTTTAAAAAAAAATAGCTTTAAAATAAGTTTAAAAATTTAAGACCCCACCCTCCCAAAGCCATGTTGATAAGCCCTACTTGGCATGATCTGGTAGCTTTATCTTCCGGGGCCCTGGGGAGCCTGCGTGTCAGAGGCTCCCTCCTTCATCCTGTTCACCTCATCCTAGGATCGGGGTCATGGGATATCTCGGAGGTCTTCTTGGCCTGCCGAGATCTGCAGGGCAATCAGCCTCCTTCCTGAAGCTTGCTTTCTTTGCACACTCAGAGAACTTTACGTGTGTGAGACCACGTTTCTTGAACCCGTAGACTGATAGAGGACATTTTTACTGATTTGTGACTGAATTTATACAAAGATCTTCCTACACACCATCAACAAAAATGACATTTAGTGATGATAACGTTGGCAGTTACTGTTGATTGAGTACTTACTGTTTCAGGCGGTGTGCCGAGCGTGCCCGCCCCCCATGCGTTGACCCCTAATGCTGGCTTTGACCTTGTTTTACAGATGGGAAACTACAAGACTCAGAGGGTGTAACTCTGTTGAGAGCAAACAGATCATTGTATCAGAGCTTGAACATAAATTCATTTGCAAAAACATCCATTTTAACAAAGATTGGAAATCTGTGGCAGGGGACCATCAAGGCTGTACCATCCATGGCACTGTAGGCTCTGGGTCTCAGTCTGTGTTACGATGACTCTCCAAGTTGGGTTTTCTTTAAACCACCCCGAGAAGCTAGCGGTCCCAGGCTCTGGCCTTGCCCTGGGCTTTGGAAGAGCCTTCCTTATTTGGTCCTGGTACCTCAGCTGTGTGTGGTGCTTCTCACCCTGAAGCGATTTGGCCTCCGGTGTTGTGTGTCCCTGGGATGGACATGATGGTGTTCTAACTTGTCAGGGCAGGGGAGGGACGCTTCCAGGCCTTCTCTTACCCGAACTCTGACAGCTGGAGGTGGTAGAATCTCACCCCAGCTCAGTCCCCTGCCCCTGGGTTAAAGCCACATCATTTTCTAGTGGCTTCCAAAGCTTTCACGTCCTTTTATTTGTCTCTTCCAATATCAGTGTTTTTTCTTCTCACTCTTCTCCCTAAATTCCTTAAACTTCCCCACTGCAAGGCTGACCATTTGACTCTTTATAGAAAGTGTTGATCCAAGTCCATGCTCCACAGTTTGCCTGGATTGAGCCCTAACTGGTTTTTCTGTTCTCCTCCCCTTTTGGGTTTCTGCACACCCAGGGGACAGTTCTTCCCAAACCATGAGACCAAACTGGATCTACCAATAAGAAGATGTTTTAGATACTGGCCACAGGACATGTCTGCCCAGCTTAGTTCCAGAAATGTGTCATTTAAGCCTATCAGACCCCAATGGCTGGTTTTGACAAACCCTTACCCACCAACAGGGCTGCCTTATGGTTGTGGTCTTCAAGGGAGACCCTAAGTTGCGGGTCCTCAGGGCCCTTCCTGGAGGGGAAGGTGAGGCTTTTAGTATAAACAGGGTTTCCTGCAGTCCTGTTGGCACGGGTGATGGGGCTGCCCCCCAGGGTTGTATAGAGAGGACGGAAGACGGATTGAGAAATGGGGTGGGGGGGGCTGGTTGAGACATCATTCATGGTGGCGTCCAGCTTTGAGACTCCCTGACTCCAGGACCCCCACCTGTATTCTGAAGGGAGCTGGGGACAAAACTGACTCAGAATTGGGTGTTTTCTCATGAGCCCCTCTGGTCTCAGATGACCGAAGGTCTCAGTGTGCCCACAACACTCACCGGACACTTGGTCTCAGTGCACCTTACCTGTGGACGAAGCAAATTGCCTTAGAGCCTTGCACATTTGGGTGGTGTGATCCTCGCCCCACCTGCCTCCCACGTGTCCCAGGAGAAAATACATGGGTATGGATGTACTCGGTCAGCTTTTGGGGCCTCTGGATTTGGGGGGAGGGCAGGGGGTTGGCGGGTACCCCGGTTGACTGGGGAAGCCTGTGCCAAGTGAGGGGAGGATGTTTAAGGCTTTGAGCTGGCCCCATGCCTCTACCCTTGACTTGTTCTTTGTCTTCCTAAACCACACAGCCCCTTGGGTAAAGGGAGTGCAGCCAACGATTCTCTGGTGTATCTGAGCACCTGGCAGAAAGAGGTGACACTGGGTCTGCTGTTTTCTCTTTTTGTTTTTTTAAAGTTATTAAACGTAGACACACACACACAGAGTGGGGTGGGGTTTTTGGTGGTTTTTGTTTTTGTTTTTTGCTTGTTTGTTTATTTAGGAGACTGCAAAAATAAATACAAGCAAACAGAAGAAAGCACAATTCCTCCTACAGTTCCAGCACTTGGAAGTAATGATATTTTGGGTTAGGTTCTTCTCTTCCTTTGTGTGCATGTCATCATGATACATTTTTATTTTGTCTTCTGTGTTTTGTTTTTTTAGTAAAAATGGAAAATATCTTGAGTCAAAACGCTCTGTTCATTTCATAGTTTATCATGCACACATTTCCGTATCATTCTTCTGCACCCAATTCCTGGTTATTGGACACTAGCAAAAAAAAATTAGAAACAAGCAATGGTGCTTATTTAGAATAAGTAATATGAGAACATGGTAACAAAAACTAAGCTATATAAAGGGGTAGATAGTGGGGCGCCTGGGTGGCTCAGTCGGTTAAGCATCTGTCCTCAGCTCAGATCATGATCCTGGGGTCCTGGGATCGAGCCCTACTCAGCAGGGAGTCTGCTTCTCTCTCCCTCTTCCCATCCCCCTGCTCATATTCTCTCTCTCGCTCTCTCACTGTCTGTCTCAAATAAATAAAATCTTTAAAAAAAGGGAGTGGTAGATAGTGAATAGGCCTCCTTCCACCCTGTTTCATTCCCCTAGTTCCATTCCATTTACCCTTTCTAAAAGGTACCGTTGATCCCAGCTTCTTGTCAATACTTCCAGAGTTATTCTGTGCATAAACAAACACACATATGTGTGTGTGTTCTAACACAAGTGTAGTAAAATTTGCACTTTCTTGCACCATTTGATTTTTTTAATGTGTATTTTTAATAATTTAAATATTTTCTATGAAACCAGTGAACAGAAGGGTTCTGTGACCAGAAAGGTTTAGGTTTTTTTTTGTCTTTTCTGCTCATTGTAACTATGAAGGAATATAGTAGATGCTTTTATTGAATAAATGGATGGGATATTTCTTTTTGGCCATTTTTTATCTAAAAGTATATATTTTATCTTATAAAATGCCATTGTAGTATACCATAGTTCTGTAAATTAATTTTTTTCTTTCATAACCCTATATACTAAATAACTTATGTCATTAACTATTTTTCTACAATGCCATGCATCATGTTTTATTGTGTGGATACACCAGGATTTGGTTGGCTCATCTCCTTGTTGGATATTTAGGTGGAGCTGCTTATTCATTTTTTAAAATTGAGTTGTAATCTATAGTGCAATGTACAGATCTTAAGTGTGCAGTTTACAGTGCACAGTGAGTTTTGATAAATGTATGCACTCATGTAACTACCACCATATTCAAGATACAGAACATTGCCAGAGCACCTAGCTGGTGTGGCTCTTGATCTCCGAGTCATGGGTTCGAGCCCCACATTAGGTACAGAGATTGTTTAAGTAAATAAGCTTGAGAAAAAAATCTTAAAAAAAAAGATACAGAACACTGCCATCAACCTAGAAAGCTCCCCTGTGCCCCTTCTCAGTCACTCACTCCGCCCTGCTCCCAGCCCCAGGCAGTGATCTGCTATTTGTGGATTGTATTTATCTTTCCTGGAGTTTCGTATAAATGGAGTCACCCGCACGTACTCTTTTCTTTCTGCCTTTTTCTATTTAGCATAATGCGTCTGAGATTCATCTGTGTTGTTGTGTCTATGAGGAGTTTGTTTTTTTCCTGCTGAGTAATATTCCATTTGTTTATGTATGCAACACAACTCTTTCATCCATTTCTCGCTTGTCCTTTGAGGCATTTCTAGTGGACTGTTTGATTATAAATTGCACCGTGGTGGTGATCTAGTCTGTCTGTGCATATGGCCATGAGAATAAATTCCTTAAATAAAATTGTCGGTCATAGGGTAAAATTTTGAGAATTTTGCCTGTCACCACTTAATAAATTCCCAAAAGGTTGCATCTGTTTGCACTTCCACCAGTGGCGTGGGAGAGTGCCTGCTTCCCAACAGCTTTGCAAGACCAAGGTATTGCTTTTTTTAAAAAAAATCAGTGCCCTTTGGATAGGTCAAAGTGGTGTCTCCTGGCTGTGTTTGAAAGGAATGGGAACCCAGGGTGGGAAAAGCACTGGAGGCTGGAGGGCAATGGGAAGGGAACTCTGAATCAATCTCCCAGGACCTGGGGAGCCCCATCTGCATCCCCTCGGTGTGTTGCTCCCAACCCCCAGGTGGCACTTACTTGGAAACTGAATCCTTCCAGATTTGCATTTTCCAGAGGCATTGGCTCCCTTGGAGGTCACAGGAGCAGGCGATGCCAGAACCTGGGCATTCTTTGGGATACAGACAACCACACTGGTACCACGAGCTACTCAGTCCAGAAATGACCATCCAGTGACTTGGGTGGGTGGGCTGGGGGAACAAGAATGGGAGGGGAGGGTCATTAGAAGAGAAGCACCAGGAACTAGATTCAATGACTATAAGGAAAAGTTGGAAAGAACCTAAATGCTCATCAGAAGGGAATTGGTTTTGCTGTGGGGGACCCATTAGATGTGATGGGCCAAGACAGCTTGGCACATAATGACTGCCGATTTTTCTGATCATTGTGAAAAACCCAGACAACTCAGAGCATGTCTGACTCTGGAGTGTACCTCGGTTTGTTTTAACTTTTTATGATAGAGATTTTTAAAGATACACAAAAGTAGAGAGAATAGTAAAATGAATCCCATGTACCCTCCACCGAGCTTAGTACCTATTTCATCTGTTCCCCAGACAGCATATCATTTACCTATAAATATCTGCTACCAGACTGTTTTTTAATGTAACACCTATGCCATTATCACACCTAACAAAATTAACAACAATTCATTAATATCTATTGTTGTCCAGTCCATATTTAGTTTCTCCATGTGCCTCAAAAATGCCTTTAAAGTTGGTTTATTCAAAACATTATCCAGATAAGGTCCACATATTACATTTCTTAAAAAATTACTCTTGGGGATGCCTGGGTGGCTCAGTCGGTTGAGCGTCTGACTCTTGATTTCAGCTCAGGTCATGATCTCGGGGTTGTGGGATCAACCCCCGCATTGCGCTCTGCACTCAGTGGTGAGTCTGCTTGGGATCCTCTCTCCCTCTCCCTCCCCCCCAAAAAGTAATCTTTTTTTAAAAAATTACTCTTAAGTTTTTTATTCCATGATGGTCTCCCTGCCCGCCCCCATTCCCTTAAAAACATTTTTTTTCCTGTAACATTGCCTTTTGGAGAAACCAGATCATTTGTTCTGATAAATGTCCCCTACCCTTGATTTGGCCTGTTACTTCCTCATGGGATCATTTAACTTGAGTACATGGTTCACAATTTGTTTTCTATACTTCCCTACTCTTGTGGGATTTTAATATGCTGTAACCTGCTTGCTGTTGAGCTGTCAGCTCAAACATCACTTCCTCAGAGAAGCCTTCCCTGACTCCCAGACAAGGTCAGGCATGGTCCCCTTGTTACATTCTCAGACCACCCCATGTTATTCCTTCAGCGCTTAGCACGATTTGTAATTATACAGTTCTTAAAGGGAATATTCGATTTAGAACTGGCTTAACCCCTATAAAGGGCAGGCCCGTGAGGGCAGGCTGGGGCTGTGTCTCTTCAGTTCCGAGCAGAGTGACTACTGCACATCACAGACACCTTATCTGGAGTCTGTGCCCTACAGCCCACACATTGCCTTCCTGGACTTCGCTGTTGAAACAGGCTTATGGGGTAGGTAAGCATGGCTCCCAGTAATCCATCCTGCTGGTAGAGAAAGGGCCTCTGAGAGCTTAAATGCTCAGCCAGGGCTTCCCTCTTAAGTGGAAGAGCTGGGCTTTAAAAACCACGCGATCTGCTGTCCAGAGTCTGACTTAGGACAGGCAGGAGAATTGCAGCCAGCCTTGAAGTCAGTGATGGTGCGACACGAACTTGCCCTCGAGGGACGTGAGAATGCGGGGGCTAGTGGTATAAAGCTGTGGGCTCTGAGTTCATATCTCTTGGTAGTCTGTCCTTTTGTACTCACTTTCTGTTTTGAAATAATATCAAACTTACAGAAGAGTTGCCAGCACGGTACAGCGATTGGGAACATTTTAACACATTCGCATTATCGTTCTCTTCTTCCATCTTTATTTGTTTTTTCTCTGGACCGAGTTGCAGGCATCATACCCCATTATCCCTTAACACTTCAGGGTTTATTTTGCATGGTTACTTTTGAGATTGGCCATGAAGTGGTTTTGGGGGGCATTTTTGTCAGACCACTAGGAACATCTTCCCAGGTGTCGGGAACTTCCCTGGAGGCCTGTTTGGGGAGGAAGGGATTTTAGCATTCTGGTGAGAAAGGAGGAAGCCTAGGGGCCACAGGCAACCTTTCCACACCGTGAGTCTGGGGAAGGCAGAATTCTGGCTTATTTTCTTGGACCATCTCCACGGCCTCATTGGCAGACAGCCTCTTTATCCAGCACGTCCTGAGCCCCAAGTATAACCTGTAGACCTGTGGGGGGCCCTGCCAGGGGAGTGTGGCCTCAACCACGATAGTCCACATTACTGTACATTAATGGGTGTTTGCTTGACAAACCTTCCGTGACGATCCAGGTCCTCAGGCAGCCCTCTCGGGTGTGTACTATAATTATCCCCATTTTACAGGTGAGACATCCTTAAGCTTAGGTAGTTAAATGACTTACCTAAGGGCGCCTGGGTGGCTCAGTCGTTAAGCGTCTGCCTTTGGCTCAGGTCATGATCCCAGGGTCCTGGGATCGAGGCCCACGTCGGGCTCCCTGCTCAGTGGGGGGCCTGCTTCTCCCTTTCACGCTCCCCCTGCTATGTTCCCTCTCTCGCTGTGTCTCTCTGTCAAATAAATAAATAAAATCTTTAAAAAAATAATAATAAAAAATAAATGACTTACCTAAGACCATACAGCGAAGAAGACGGCAAAGCCAGGATTTGAAGGCAGGCAACCTGGCTCCAAAGCTCACATTATTAACTACTACAGATGGTCACACCTTGTTGCCTAGAGACGCATGAAAAGCTTCAAAGAGGAGGTGCGGTTTGGGCTGGGTTCAAAGGATAAGCAGAAGCTTGCTAGGCAGAGAGAGGTGTGGAGGAAGTTCATCTCCCGGGGCGGTGTGTGACGGCCACTCGGGGACCTGCGAAGGGCGGTCTGGTGAGTAGGGGAGGGGAGGAGAGGGACCAGGAACATGGGCTCTGGGGATGCGGGGCTCCCAGAGGTGTACGCATGTCCTGCGAGCGCGCGGAGTGCTAGGAGGAGGAAATGCTGGATCACTGGGAAATGGCCTTGGCCTTGGAGACCTGTGTCTTCAGCGTTGGTGGTGATCCAAAGAAATGGCATCTGAACTAGGGCAGGAAGTGGGGAGACTTGAGAGTTTTAGGAAATAGAGTCAAAGGACCTGTTAACAAAAGGAGGGAAGGGTTTCAAGTTTCTTACTGGTTGGAACAAAGTAATTTTCCATTGCTGAGCATGACTGGCTTTTTTCACAGTGAACATGGTTCTTAGAAAACTCCTCCTAGCATGTGCTAGTTTCTGTTTCCTCTTTAAAGACTTCTGTTCACTTAAGGGAGTTGATGTGTATTGGGTGCCTACGATAGGCCAGACGCTGTTAAATGCTTGGCGCACATTATCTCATTATTATCTCATTGACTATTAATGTTGCTTTAAAAAAAGACAAGTTGGGGCACCTGGGTGGCTCAGTCGGTTAAGCGTCTGCCTTCAGCTCAGGTCATGTTCTCAGGGTCCTGGGATCGAGCCCTGCATCGGGCTCCCTGCTCAGCAGGGAACCTGCTTCTCCCTCTGCCTGCTACTCCCCCTGCTTGTGCTCTCTCTCTCTCTCTCTCTGACACATGAAGAAATAAAATTTAAAAAAGACAAGTTAATTGTCCTGACCAAGACACTGGCAGTTCTTAAACATCGGTGCGCGTTCGTTCTTGCATTCAACGTATATTTTTTATTTTATTTTATTTTTTTAAAGATTTTTTTTTTATTCATTTGAGACACAGAGATATGGAGAGAGAGAGACAGAGAGAGAGAGAGAGAGAGAGAGAGCATGAGCTGGGAGAGAGGCAGAGGGAGAAGCAAGCTCCCTGCTGAGCCAGGAACCCGATGCGGGGCTCGATCCCAGGACCCTGGGATCATGACCTGAGCCGAAGGCAGACGCTTAACCATCTGAGCCACCCAGGTGCCCCTCAACGTATATTTTTTAAAGCCCGCCACAAGCCAAGCACTACGAGCTGCTGGGCGTAGAAGTGTTGAACACAACCAAGTTCTCTACCTTCATGGAGCATGTGGTCAAGCATCAGGCTCAAACGAAGTGCACACAAAGCCCGGATGGGCGCCCAGCTGCGTCCCCCGGAAGTCTGAGACAGTAAAGCTGGAAATGGGGAATGCAGTAGACCACGAGGGCTGCCTCGGACTGGAAACAGTAGAATTTTATTCTCTCACAGTTCTGGAGGCTAGAAGTTCAGAATCAAGGCGTCTGCAGCTCTGCGCTCCTCCCAGAGGTTCTCGGGGAGGATCCTTCCTTGCCTCTTCCTTGGTGCTCCTTGGCTTGTAGCCACACTGGTCCCTTCTCAGTCTCCGTATTCACCCCGCCGTCCTCCTGTATCCATCTCTGCCTAGTCTTTCCTCTGTGTGTCTCTATTTTCTGCCCTCGTGGGGACACCAGCCGTTGCTTATGAGCCCACCCTAATCCAGTACAACCTCGTCGTCACTTGATCACATCTGTAAAGACCCCATTTCCCAAAAAAGGTCACATTCTGAGGTTGTGGGTAGATAGGGATTTTGGGGAGACGTTATCCAACTCAGTACAGGGGGAAGCCTCCATTTTTCTGTGAATTCTTAGAAGATCCCAGTGCCTGTCATCAGCTGACCACAGTGGCAGAAACCCTGGACGGTAGATCAGCGGGGGAATGGCGTCCCAGCAGGAGCGACTCAGGGATAGTGGCAGTGCTTACCCTGCTCACGTGTTTCAGGCTGGTAGGGTCAGGGTGCCCGGGGGGATCCATCAGAAGGAATCTGGAAATCGGCGACAGGACCTGGAAGTGTCACATGAAGAGCTGTTGAGGCCACCGCTTAGGAATGGTGACCCAGGAGGGAAGGTAGAGAGATCCAAGGGTTGGACCTATTCCAGAGAACCGCCCCTGCACTTAGATAATGGAAGGTGTGGGAGAATGAGGGGCACCCCCAGTTGAGAAGGTGTGAGGGATGTGGTCATATCCGGAAGCTGCCAAAATGAAGAACCTGGGGGACATTTTATAAAAAGGCCACGAGTGTTGTCTCTGGGGGCGTGGAGAGGTCCCGGGGGCCGGGGTGGGAGAGGGACCGCGGAGAGGTAGGCACATGTGTCTTTGGCCACAGCTGGGTGCCCAGCAGCCGTAGCCGGGCCTGTCACAGAGTCTGCTCTAGAGGACAGAGGCTCTGGCTCCTGGGAACGAGGCGGTGTGTCCAGAGCTGACCCTTTTCTGAGTTCAGAGGGCCAGTGAAAGATGTGGTGGCTTGGCGTGACCTTTCTGTCTGCTGGCAGGAAGCTACAGGCCGGAGGTCAACAAGAGGGATGTCACTGGCTCTCTGTGCCGCAAGCCACTCTCTCCGGAGTGTTGAAATAGTTTTCTCACAGAGATGTTGGTTCTTTACTGAAAATACCTCCCAGGGCTTTATGAAGCAATTGGGGCAGAGAGGGGAAGGAGGGTGATCCTCGGGCCTCGCAGGGCCTCCTAGGTCAGTGGTGTGTACTGCTGAGGCCTCTGAAGAACCAGCCTACCCCCTTCCCCTTTCTTTTTCCCTTTCAATTTGCAAGTCTCCACTTCCTGTTGGTCACCTTGGTTACACATGGTGTTTCTTCATGTCTTGCTACCCTTTGTTCTCAGGCAGACACGATCCCTCAAGCTGTTTCCCAACCAGCTGGCCCAGTGCCTGGAGGCCCAACCTCCCTAGGGAGGCAGTGGTTGGCAGCACTGAGGATGAGCATGGCGGGAAGCACAGAGGAGACCAGTGTGGTTTTCCGTCAGTGGCCAGTGTGGGAGAGCCCCTCAGCCCTGCTCTGTACCTTGGCCATTTATGAAGTGGTTGTCACACTCAATGCAGCATCACACCCCAGGCCCAGCCAGTTCCTCTGATGTCCAGGCCCAGGATTTGCCACTAACCTGCAATGTGGCCTCGGTTTTCTGGGTACCGACCAGTCCTGGGGTGGTACCACTGACTGGGCCCCCCTCAACAGGGTGAGTGCTGGGATGGAGAGCCCAGATGGAGTGACAGTTGTCCGTAGGGCGATAGCACAATGAGAGACAGAAGTGGGGGCATGTGTGTGCAGAGAATCAAGACTATGTACATGCTCACACTTCTCTCTCAGTGGTGGGATTGCTAGTGAATTTAATTTTCTTTGTATGCACATATGTGTTTTCTAAAATTTCTATAGTAATAAGATATCTTATAATCGGTTAAAGATAACATCACTTTGGAAGGAAAACACAAACCTAAACTATCCCATGGAAGCCACAAAACCGTCTTATGAGCATGGATCAGAAAGCCCAGATTCAGATCTGTCACTTATTAGCTAGGTGACCTTAAGCCAGTTCCATAGCCTCTCTGAGCTGTCTTCGTCTGGAATACTGGGATGCTGATAATCCCTACCTTGTGGGCTTGTTAGAGGCTGAGAAGACAGAATGCGTGGGACACAGTATCTGGCAAATGAGATACATATATATTTGAAATTATGTATGTAACACATGTATATAAAATGGAAAGTTGTATAGAACTGTTCATCACAATGGGTGATTCCAGATACTTGTGAAGACCAGAGAGGAGGTGTAAAAGCCTGGGGATGCTGAATTCTAGGGGAAAGAGAAAGCTCTGTCCTTGCCTTGGGGTGGCACGTGCCTCAGTCTACCCAATAGCAGTATATGGTTTCCAAGGAGGAATCAGGTGTTTGCAGAGGATCGGGAGTTGAGTTTCTATAGGATATATAGAAAAGATACGTGTATATAGTATCTGAGGTGGGGCTGTTGGCAGGTTGGGGGCGGGGACTTAATTTGGAGCCGAGTCCCTAGACCCCGCAGGGCAGGGCACCCAGGGCCGCCTGGGTAAGCTGGCATCTGGAGCCTCTTGTGCCACTCCTAGGCTCCTAATGGCGTGGTTGTGGGGAAGTTCTTACCAGGGCAATTCTGCACGTGAAAGCAATGGTTTTTGATCTCAGCGAGCTTTTCAGTAAATCTCTCCGCTTAGCATCATCAACTTATTGGGAGTTGAGCCAGGGATTTTCCCCGGAGTCTCACCTTGCAGATGCATTGAGGTTTAATTTCCCCAGCACACCCATGCCCAGCTGCCAGCACCCTAAAGCACCATCTCGCAGAACGAGCTCTCTGGGATGTTGTTACTCTGCCCGCCACCCGCCACCCCCGCCCCCACCCCGAAAGGGGTGGTGGTAATGGTGATCTGTGGATAAACAGATTGAACCTAGAGTTTCCTAAAACTATGTTAAGTTTTTTCCTGAACAAATGTTTCAGGGCTTCCAGTGAGCTTTTAGGAAGGAACAAAGTAGAATGCAGTATATAGTATGGCCCACAGATCCGTCTTCTTCAGGGAGTGAACCTTGGGTCTGGGATGTCATGGAACACACATTGGGAAACATTGCCTTGGAAATGACTGAGTGTGGAGTGCATAATTTATCATTCTTGAAGTTCCCAGTCCCCTGTAAAACACTACCTGCTTCCTCTGTGTTCACCCTCCGCTGCTGTTGGGTAGACTGAGGCGCGTGCCACCCCAAGGCCAGGACAGAGCTTTCTCTTTCTCCTAGAATTCAGCATCCTCAGGATCTTACACCACCTCTCTGGTCTTCAATTGCACATTATGATCGTTTCATTCAATCTAAGATCAGGAGCAAATCATTTTTACTTACCTTTTCATTTCAAGTATTTGCCTTTGTCCAAGGTTGAACGTTTTGTTAATTATTAAGTATCTTTTTTGTGTCAAGAATTGAGGCCACAGGGCTGAACAAGATGAACCCATCCCTTTCCTCATGATGTTTACAGTCGAGGAGTGAAGAAAGACACTAAAAGTGAATGGATGGAAGGACGGATGGATGGATGGATGGAGAAA